AAGTCCTCAGACTTTGATAAACCTGTAGCTCTTGCAGCTTCCTGGAAAGTTGAGTTTTTCCGAGAGTTTATTAATAAGAGTCTTCGTATAAACAACGCCTTTCTTCTCACGCAACAATTCTAGTCCATACAATCATCGCGATATTTTTCTGTGGGAGCTTACAACAATGTACTTGCGCAACCGTATTAGCGATATTTTATGAAATGAAGCGCGTGGTTGTCAGTTCAGCGCATATGATCTCGGGGTTGACATTTTGGCGAGTTGAACGTTGGCATTATTGCGATAGCACGTGATAAATTTATTACAGTCTCATAAAAAACATTTTTAATAGAGAGAGAAAAAGAAAAAGGTCTCAACTAAAAACATTAATTTCTGTTAAAAATTTCTTTTGTATGAATAATGATTTTACCATTAAAATTTCAATTCCTGAAACAAACAACTTGTTTAAGATGTTGTTCCTTTGTTTTAATTTTTCAAAAATATATGTATGGTAAAATATATGTATGGTATAACGCGCATCTATACTCACAACGGGAGGGCACGACTAAGAAAATTCATTTGGTTACGAGAGACTTTGTATACTAATAGTACTTCTTTAGGGTGTTCAACTCCCAATGTAATAGCGCTGGATGGCCAGTAATTCGGAGAAAATAGACTTCGAAATACATGCTTGACTTTTAAACAATTAAATTTCAATTATCGCCAGCGATGCAATGGCATGATTGATAGAGTACCTGTTTACCAAGTGACCGGCCAAGGTTCGAGTCACGGAAACGATTTTTTAGTTACATTTTTAAATTCATTTAAAAAATTATTTTTACAATTCAATAAATTTATTTAAAAATGACTTGTTAAATATTTATATGATTATAAAACAACTAAATTAATATTATATAACATAAGATATATATCATATTTATTATATTAATTATACAATATTTTTTTATAAATAATTATTATGATATATTTTACATATTATTATAATTTTTATAGTATTTTATTTATAATATATTGTATTTTATATTATAAAGCTATTTGTAACTAATTTTTATATAAAATATCATTTAACGTTTATTATAATATATTTTTATAATAAATATTATTTATTAATAATTATATTTATAAAATATAATATAAATATTTATGTAATTACAATAATTATTTTGCTTTTTAAAATACAAAATAATCATCTAAAATGTCATTTAATATTTAATAAACCTTTTTTTAAATAAATTTATTTAATTGTAAATATAATTAAATAAATTTAAAAAATAAAACAAAAGAAAAATGGTTTACGCGATTCGAACCTTGTCCGGACGCGTGGTAAACAGGTACTTTACCAATCAAGCCATTGCATCGCTGAAGACAGTTAAAATTTAATTGTATAAAAGCTAAGCACGAATTTCGAAGGCTATTTTCTCCGAATTGACTGGCCATTCGGCGCTTTTATATATTGGGGGTTGATCACCCTAAAGGAGTAATACTATTACACGAAGTCTCGTCCCCAAATGAACTTCCTTAGTTGTGCCCTCCCCTTGTCAGTGGCTTAGCGTACATCCCCGCAATCCCTGCAGAGGAGGTGGAGGTCAGCAGGGGGAGGGGTACGAAGCTTGACTGACGCCAAATACGTAACCCTGGTAAGATCTAGCTCGGGGCTCAAAACTTTTTGCATATCCCCCTTTAAGAAAAACCGCACGCAAAATTGTGTTAGATACTCTTGAAAACGAGGAGATCAATATATTTCCCAATAAGTACTCTCTGCCACAGGACGTCTAATTAATTAACTCCGAAAACTCTCGTTCACTCACCAGCGAAAATAACCCCTACTCCCCCCGCATGGAAACCAAGGATACCGGGTCGAATAATTCGACCAATCAGAAAGCTGCGCAAAACCAGTTCCCCCCACCCATTGTGCTCCTAGTAGAAAAAAATTACAAAGCTCAAATGGCCGCCATTATAAAGGAATTTCCAAAAATTAGATCCCGACTAACGGGTGATTTCCTCAAGCTGTATACAGATAGCTCCGAAGAACGTAGACTTGTAGTTGAGCTACTTTAAAAACTAAGATTTCAAATCTACACCATTAAGGCTACAGCCGAGTGCCCCATAAAAGTGGTAATCAAAGGTCTCCTGCGTACCACCAACCTCGAAGAAATTAAAGAGGATTTAGAATTACTTGGCTACACACCAGAAAGAGTAAATCAGCTAATAGGTAGGAAAACCAAACGCGCCCTCCCTATCTTCTTAATAACTCTCCCCCGTAATTTAGATAATCTAAAAATATTTGATCTTAAAACTCTTAGCTACCTAAGCATCAGAGTTGAAGGATATGATGGAAAGGGTGTAACGCAATGTTACACCTGTAATAACTTCAACCACAGCTTCCCCTCAGGGGGCTCACCTTCTTTAGATGGGTACGGGTGTCACAATCCCGAGGTACCCTAGTGATCTTTTCCTTTTCCCAGGGGTTTACTATCTTTGGTAAACACGGGTGTCACGACACCGGGGTATCCCAGTGATCCTTCTTTATTTTCGACCTTCCATCTTGTCATCCAATTTCTCCTTTTCTTCTTTTCCCGTCCAGACCACAGACCTATGAATGTTTGGCGCAGTATAGCCAAAACTGGCTCTTGCGCCATAAAACAACAAACTCATCATCATCATCAACAACAACCACAGCTCTGAAAACTGCCACCTAAACGCAAGATGCCTAAAATGCGGTGAAATCCCTCACTCGTGATTACCCAATTAAACAAAATTAGAAATAGCCTACTGTATTAATTGACAGGTCTACGGACACATGGCAAACTACAAAGGCTGCCCCTCTTTCCCCAAACCCCCAAAAGAAGCCGCGAAAAGTAATAGAAACTTTTATACTAGTATTTATAATAGTCTAGTAAGACCAAACGTTTCTTATGCTCAAGCAACAAATGGTGCGATTAATTTTAAAAATAACCCACAAATGGCGACACGAGGACTGGGTCTTCAGCACAAATCAAGGCCAAAAAACTAAATCCCCATCTAACAGATACAACAACAATAATTTTCCAAATTTCACAAACCATCGAAATAATAACTTCAATTTTAATAACAATAACAATAATTTTAATGTTCAAACAACGCTGCAAATGACAATGCATTGTCTCATGCAGCTGTCACAAATCCTTTGCAACACAACAACAACCTTAATAATTCGAACCAACCACTAAATCCTAACCAGATGTACGCCCAAATAGAAGCATCCTGCAACAATATTAATAATGTCTAGTTCCTCTCCAATTGGTCGCAGTTTGTGTTCTTGGAACGCAAACGCTTTGCTCAAACGTAATGCCGTATTACGTATTTTTATAGAGAAGTACTCCCAAGATATCATTCTTCATACAAAAAAACCCCAAACTTGAGCCCCTTCCACACACTTTTAAATATCGCCAATTACACCTGCCATAGAAACGATAGAATCTCGGACGAGCCGCGGACCGCTGGTGGAACTCTTATCTTCCTCAAAAATTCGCTCAAGCACTACTGTCTCCCCACCCCACCTCTCCGCGCTATGGAAGCCACTAACATAATACTAGCTCTTCCCAAGCATGATCCCATCTCTATTACTAGTGCTTATATCCCCCTTCTGACGAAAACATGTTTACCATTGATATCGAGCACTTTCTTCAAACTGCCAGTAATTGTGTTCTCTTCGGAGATTTTAACGCCACTCATAATGCATCTTAACTATCCTGAATATTTTTTTTTAAAATTTTAAAAAATCTCTGACTGCCTCTTGCTTTTTGGGCACTTCAAACAGAAAAGGAGGAGGATAAACAAAAGTCGCAGACACATAGAATCATGTAACATCCATAGTAAAGGATATGCATAATGCATACAGTTCGAAATTTATTAAAAAAGTAATTCACTATAGTAAAATCACATGTACCTGTTTGATAAAATATAATTCTATTTTAATTTAAAGGACATTTCTATTATCAAAAAGGGGATTTATTTTAAAACAAGAACACGTAACAGGCAAATACATTATATATGTATATATATATATATATATATATATATATATAAATAAATAAATAAATTTCCCCTCAAATAAATTTCAAAATGAAAAAACTTTATAAATCTGATATTTAATTTTTAAAAAGAAAAGAAAACGAGTTGGTTGGCCGCAACTTACGTACCGGTGGGCCACATACAGCCCTCGGGCCGCGTGTTGGACACCTCAGATCTAGACAAAGCATTTTCGTATCCGTTCCTATGGAAAGCTAAGGCTTGTTGACACGGGGGTATAGCTCAGTGGTAGAGCATTCGATTGCAGATCTAGAGGTCCTCGGTTCAAACCCGGGATCCCCCTTCTTCGGGGAAGTAAAGAGAAATATTTTTTTAAGAAATTTGAAGGCGGGAATGATCTGTCCCGTTCTAAATATTTCTAATCAAACCATTTTTATCTGTTTCAAAGAATGCAAGAAAGTCGCTGACGCGGGGGGATAGCTCAGTGGTGGGCATTCGACTGCAGATCGAGAGGTCCTCGTTTCAAACCTGGGATCCCTTCTTCGGGAAGTAAAGAGAAATATTTTTAAGAAATTTGAAGGCGGGAATGATCTGTCCCGTTCTAAATATTTCTAATCAAACCATTTTTGTATCTGTTTCTAAAGAATGCAAAGCAAAGTCTCGCTGACGCGGGGGTATAGCTCAGTGGTGGAGCATTCGACTGCAGATCGAGAGGTCCTCGGTTCAAACCCGGGATCCCCCTTCTTCGGGGAAGTAAAGAGAAATATTTTTTTAAGAAATTTGAAGGCGGGAATGATCTGTCCCGTTCTAAATATTTCTAATCAAACCATTTTTGTATCTGTTTCTAAAGAATGCAAAGCAAAGTCTCGCTGACGCGGGGTATAGCTCAGTGGTGGAGCATCGACTGCAGATCGAGAGGTCCCGTTCAACCCGGATCCCCCTTCGGGAAGTACAAAAGAAATATTTTTAAGTGAAGGGGGAATGATCTGTCCCGTTCTAAATATTTTAATCAAACCATTTTGTATCTATTTCAAAGAATGCAAAACAAAGTTCGCTGACGCGGGGTATAGCTCAGTGGTGGGCATTTGACTGCAGATCGAGAGGTCCTCGGTTCAAACCCGGATCCCCCTTCGGGGAAGTAAAGAAAA